CACACACACACACACGCAACAGACTGAAGATTAGCAAACGGGCTACTCTCCTTCCTTCTCTGTACCACTCAGCACCTTAATTTCCTTAAGTGTTGGAAGCAAAATCTGGGAATTTTCTGTTTCTGAAGAGCAGTCTCCTAGTTTGTTTTTTAGCCATAATTTTAAAGCACAATATATTGCTGTCCTCAGTATATTTAGGATTAATTATTATACAAAATTTCTCTTGAATTTTTTTTGGGAAATATAGGTCGAAAAGAAGGAAATCTGTCTTTTCTCCCCCTCCCCATCCCTGTTGTTGTTATTGTTAGATGCTGTCATAGTGACCCCAAACATGACTATGAACAGCAGATCTGTGCCCTGGCACGTGCACCAGATCATGTACCATCCTCTTCATCTCCAATATAAATTGTTAGTCACTGTGCCAATCCATCTTGTTGGGGGTCTTCCTCTCTTTTACTGACTCTCCACCTTTCCACACATGATGGTCCTTTCCCAAAGTATATAAGATGAAGCCTCATCGTCCTCGTCTCCAAGGAGCATCCTGTTTTCCTATACAGACCTGTTTGGTTTTTTAGCAGCCCATGGAATATTCAGCACTCTTCTCCAATACCTCAATTCTTTTTCTGTAATTCTTAGGCACTGTTCAGCTCTCAGATTCATAGCAAGTAATTGAGAAGACCATGGCCTGAATCAGGCACACGTTAGTCTTTAACCTTACATCATTGCTCCTCAGTACTTTGGAGTGGTCTCCGGCAGCAGTCTTTCCCTCTTTTGCTTTCTTTACTGCTGGTACCAAAGTTGTTGATTTTGAGTTCAAGTAAGATGAAATCGTTGGCAATTTCAGTCCTTTTTCCATCTAACATGGTTTGCCTATTGGGCCAGTAGTGAGGATTTTTGTTTTCTTGATGTTGAGATGTAATCCATATTGAAGGCTGTAATCCATACACTTCAGCAACAAGTGCTTCAGGCTATCTTCACTTTTAGCAAGCAAGGTGATTTGAAGAATAAGGAATGTGGCATCAAGATTGGAAAAGACTCATCATACTTAGCCCTGTTGTTGTTGTTGTTGTTGGTGTTAAGTGCCATCAAGTCACATATGACTGATAGCATCCATCATCATCATCCATCCCTCATCACCTCTGATACACTTGAGCCCATTGCTGAAGTTACTATGTCAATCTACCTTCTTAGAGGTCTTCCTCTCTTTCGCTGAACCTCTACCTTTCCAAGCTTAATGTCCCTTTCCAAGGAATAGCCTCTGCTAGCAACATGTCTAAAGTATGAGAGACGAAGCTTCACCCTCATCCTTGCCTCCAAGTACTCTACTTACTAATTTGTTCCTGGGCGAGGTGTGTGTGTGTGTGTGTGTGTGTGTGTGTGCATATATATGCTTAAGTGCTTAGCTTCTTACCACAAAGTTGATGGTAAGAGTTTACTCAGAGGCGCCACAAAAGAAAGACCTGGTGACTTACTTCTGAATAGTCATTGAAAACACTATGGAACATCATTCTATTCTGACAAACAAGGCACATTTGGCACCCGGAGTTGGAATTGACTTGATGGCAGTTGCTTTGGTTTGATTTGCTACCTGCTAACTTAGTTTTAAAGGAAGCGCTGGTGGCCTAGTCTCTAGGGAGTTGTGCTGCTAATCCAATGGTCAGATGTTTCTGGCAGCTCGACAGTGACAGGTGGCAGTGGCTCTCGCAGGAGAAAGCTGCGCAGTCCCTTCCCATGTGCTTTACAGCCTCAGAAACCCACTAGGTGGTCAGCTGTGAGGCAGTTCCAACTCGATGACAATGAAGAAATGGCATTTTGTTTTAAGGAACACTGGTGGTGTAGTTTGGAACATTTCAGGCTGCTAACCCAAAGGCTGTGGTTCAAATCCACCGTCTCTGGAGAAAGATGGGCGGTCTCCTGTCATTAATATTTAGTCTTGGAACTCCATTGAATATGAGTAGGAATCAACTCAACAGCAGTGGTAATTTAGTGTTAGATCTCTAAGCCTCAAGTTCAACAGCTTATACTCATATTTTCTTATAATAGGAAGTAATCTTTTTCCAAAGCTTATAAAGCATTTCCTATACCGAGTATAAACCACATTTCCCATCAAAGTAAATCGCCATACACAATTAAACATCGAGTAAACAACATATTTTCTTATTTAGAAACAGTTATACCGTGACACAAGTTGATTATTTGGAGATTATTATTACAAAGAATTTAAATATACAAACTTGGCTATGAACAGTCACGCTAAGCCACGTACATAGAAGTTCATCTGTGATGTTGTTTCCCAGGAATACCATAAAAGTCAAACAGTTAAACATTTTATTTATGTGTCTTTTAAATTCTAAAAATATTGCAACTTAGGTAGATAAATCAGATATACTGGGGAGGGAGAAGCTCAGCCGGCAGGCATGACAGCATTTTAGAAATTCAGAGATGACTAAGAAGACATAGTGGCACTGTGTTTAATGCAAACATTGGTACATCTGATGCAATATAGTCATCTTATGATGCTTCCTTTGATCTATTTCTGTTTGTCAGTTTGTATTTCTAAAATGGGGAAAGGAGAGTCTACGACCCAGTATTTTTAAAAAAAAAAAACACCAGAAAAACAGGGAAGTGACGTAAAAAGGCAAATATAAAGCTATAAAGGGAGCCAGCAGCATTCATCCATCTGCGGGCTGAAGGCCGTCTGGGCATAAGCCCGAAACCAGTAAGACACCATCTACTGCAATTTCACCACTTCTGCCCTTGCCACGCTCTGCTTCAAAAATGATCTAATAAGGAAAGGAAATAAAAAGAGGAATTACTTCAAAATATTCAAAACAATGATCCAATCTAAAGATTTAATAGCTATTTAAGAGGGTAAAATTCATGTGTTTCTACTGCATGTTGTGAGCTGCTGTTGAGGCTCTTGGCAACCCCATGTTATAAAGTAGAACTGCTTCATGAGGTTGTTTTTTTGTTATTTTAAACAGTTTATATTGGTTTGCATACAAAATTCATATATGTTGTGTTTCACAGATTCCTTCATTCACATTGTTTCATATGATCATTCTCATGCATTGTTCCATCGATCTATACCTTCTTTTATGCCATCTTTTCAGGTTCTCAATGGATCTTTCCTAATTCTTTCACCCCCTCCCTCTGCCTACCAAACCCTGTGATTCCCTCATCCTCTCCCTCAGACTCCCTGCCCGCTCCTCTTTCCCTTTTGGGCTTTTATAAGCACCTTACTAGGAATATACCCCAAGGAAAACAGACCTGCGGAACAAATGGAGATTTGAACCCTGATATACATTAACAGCATTATTCACAATAGCAATAAAATGGAAACATCTCAAATGTCTATCACCAATGAATGGATTAAAAAATTGTGGTCCATTTGTGCAATGGTTCCAAAAAAATACTGTAACAACATGGGAGAGGCTGGAGAGCATTATGCTGGGTGAACTAACTCATGGAATTTTCTTGACTGTAATCACCTTTACAGAAGCAAACTGCCAGGCCTTTCTTTCATGATGTTGCTTGGTGGGTTCAAATTGTTAACCTCTAGGTTAGCAGATGATTGCAGACTGTCTGGATTTCCTCCTATTGTGGAGAAACTACACTGAATCTATGTAGAGTAAGAGAATATGTTCCACATGGTCAGTGTGTAAACAGAGAGAGTTTATACTCAGAGAAACAGGACTATGGACATACTTCAGGAGACTCAGTGACTGTAGGAATCTCCAGTCTATTGTCTGACCTACAGACTTTTCAACTTGGGAGCCCCACAATTGCATGAACAATTCCTAAACATATCCTATTTTCTCTCTAGATATACATGCATATCTATCTTACTCGTTTTGGTTCTCTCTTATGTTGTATATCATCAAGTCAGAACCGACCCATAGCTGACTCTCCAGCGGGTTTTCAGAGGCAGTTAATTGCACGGAGGAGACTGCCCATCTTTCTCCTGTGGAGCATCTGGTGGATTCAAACCATGTGCTTTGGGATTGCTGTGCAGCTTCTTACCAGTAGGCCACCAGTGCTCCTTTTTGTTTCTATAGAAAACCCCAAGACACTAAGATATCCTAGAACAAAAAATTCACCGAGAAAGGGGTATTTCATTTGGAACCATTAATTCAGTGCCTTTCATGTGGAATTCAGCAATAGTGTATGCATATTGTGGTTATAAGTAGAGAAGAAAAATATGTGCTCGTGTGGAAAGTGAAAAGCAAAAGATGAAAGCACCCATGTTACTGTGGGATGATTCTGAATTGTTTCAATATAGTAATTTCATTTTGTCTTTTCAAAACATTTTTTTATAAATCCAAATGTAAAGCAAATTGGCATTTTAGAGAAATGTCTGTTATGAATCATGCTCCTAGTAATGCCATCTTGTAGCCATCACCGTCCCCTATAAATAGTCACAGACTATTTTTCAAGGCCTTGGAATTGAAGCCACTGCAACCTTACTGTGTCCAGCTTTGTCTGGCTCTCAGGAGGGAAGCTAACACCATCTGCCAGTTTCTTGTACTGTGGTGGCTTGTATGTTCCTGTGTGGCTGAATGGTGGACAGGTTTCTGCAGAGCTTCCACACCAAGACAGATTAGGTAGCCAGGCTTGGCCTTCTACTTCAGAAAATCAGTCAATGAAAACTGTTTGGATCACAACAGAACATAGTGCCTGGTGTAGTGTTGGAAGATGAAGCCCCTTGGTTGGAAGGCAGCACACAACAGGTGCAACAGTAGCGTGAAACACACGTGCATTCATGAAGATGGTATGGGACCACACAGCATTCTGTTAGGTTAACGGTCGGTTGTCATTTGGGATAGATCATCACCAGTCACCAGCAAAGGGAAGACAGAAGACCTTAGTGGACACAGGAAAGTGAAGAGAACCCATTACTGCAGACTTTCTGGGCTGCCATATTTTGCTTTAAAGCTCCTGTGGTGATTTTCTTGAGAACTGTTGGAGAAATGGCATATTCCATAGCATGATGTGCTGCTAGCCAAAGTGACCGCACATCGCTGGTGATTTAACTGCACCAGTAGCTCTGAGGGACAACAATGTACAGCCACCTTCTGTTAAGATTTACAGCTTTGGCAATCCCCTGGAAGGTCACTACGAGTCAGAATTGACTCTTTGACAGTGAACTGAGTTGACTTGAACAGTGAATGTGAACATAACTGGGCATAAAAGTTTTTCTTCTTCTTTGAGTTGGATTGACTTGACCACAGTGGGGTTTTGCTCATTTGTTTTGTTGTTTATTTAGTCTCTTTTTAGGAAGAATTACTTTTAGGTAATTAAAAAATACCTTTTCAGTAAGTCAGAAAATAGGGGGGTCTGGTGGCCTATTGAGTAAGGAGCTGTGCTGTCAACTAAAAGCACATGGTTCAAATTCAGCAGCTGCTCTTTGGGAGAAAGATGGACAATCTCCTCCTGTGCTATTTACAGTCACTGGAAACCCACTGGAGGGTCAGCTATGAGTTGGTTCCAAGGCCACAACAGTGACATTGGCTTTGACAAAGCAGTTACAGTGCGAAGGACAGAGTGGAGTGGGCATATGTATGTCTAGTGCTTGGGACATGGCAACTTCTCCATTGTTAAAACACGATAGTGTCAGAGTAACTAAAATGAAGTGGAAGGATAATGAATTGAGATATGAATTTGTATTTGGCTTATTATTCTCTGTATTTTTTTCCCTAACTTGATGCAAAAATTGTGTAGGAAAAAAAAATTCCCTTTTATCGAGGATTTTTGGGAAGGTAATGGTCAAAAGCTGAATTTTTTAGAAGGCAGTCCTCTTCTGGATGGTTGGTCCCTGAAATGTACCCACCCGGATGGAGAAGAAAACCGCTCGGAGAAGCAGAGGCAGAGATGGGGAGAAGGGAGTTCTCCAGACTGGGATGCTGCACCTGTGCTCCACCTGACAGCCCTGATGGTCAATGGCTACCTTGACGCTGATTCTCAGGAGCAAGTCTCCAGCCTCTTTTTCTCCATTGCAGCCTAGCATGGAATTTGAAGAGATGAGGGAATTTTCATAGGTGAAGACAGTGTGGGTGTTGGCGGCCATCACGATGATATAAACATGTTCTGTGCCATTGCTCTTCAGAACTGTGCCAGTTTCAGCCTTGCAGAAGCTCAGGCTACCCTGGGACAGGGTGGGAGGAGGGTGGCTTCTCCCTGCAATGCCAGCTGGTCAATAGCTAAGAAGGAGCTTCCCCAGCATGTTAGATGGGGCTTTAGATTCAGACATAATTTGACTTTGAGAACAAAAGATCACTTGTACACCTGAGTTGATGGAATCTAATTCACATGTGCTACAAATATCCACAGCCAGTGGACACTGGTAACCTCCAAGATTTTCTTAATTTGATTTTCAGCACCCCACCCTCCAACATTTTCATCAATGTTTCCCCAAATACTAGGAAAGTTCAAGGCATACACACTTGTATCAGCCCCCTCCTAGACCTATGCATCCCTCCTAACATAGTAGTGCTGTGTTACATAGTGTTATTACTGGCCAGGATGAATAAAGCCTGTTCTCACACATGTGCATTTTTTAAAAAGCATTGTTTTTTTGGATTTGTTTGTTTGTTTGTTTTTGTGTGTTTTTTTTTTATTTTTGTGTGCGTGTACCGTCAAATCAGATCTGACTGGTACAGGAGATTGTCCCTCCTTCCCCGGCAGAGCATCTGGTGGATTCGAACTGTGCACCTCTGGGATTGTAGTTGAAGCTCCTTGCCACTAGGCCACCAGAGCTCCCCAAGATATTATGTTTTATAAATTATTTCTCAACTCATAAAACAGTACACAACATGGTTAAGTCTGGAAGACATTATGCTGAGTGAACTATCTCTGTCACAGAAGGACACATAATGCATGAATCCACTAGTTTAATAGTAGGATCAGTATGGGATGGGGATGGGGGCAGGGATGGTGGGAAGAGCGGAAAAAGAAAGGCTAGATAAGGAACACTGGACTGGAATGGGTGAAAGGAAGAACAATCTAAAAGGAAGATTGTAAATTATGTATAGCTCTCTGGTCTCTCTTGCCTAACACCATGAAATGTTATTGATGTGTACTGTTGAGTCTGAACCAACTCGTAGCTTAACCTCCAGTGGTTTTTCAGAGGCAGTAAATCTCATGAGAGGAGATTGACCATCTTTCTCCCAAGGACCATGTCCCTTTGACTTGGCAGCACAGCTCTTTTTGCCACTTGAAAGGCTCAAGTAAAATATAAGTGGAATTCCAGTTCATTAATCTAGTAATCATTCCTGTGTCTTGTTAACATTAGCTGGCATCCAGCTTTTCACATAGCTCTTTGTGTTCCCTTCCATCTTGACCCAGCATTTCTCAAGGACCTGCAGTGACTGTGTCCGCAGCTCCCTTCTTTTCCCCGCCTCCTGTTATGGTGGAGCTTTGCATGTTCTCCTCCAGAGTAACAACTGCAGACATCATCAGCCCCCTCCTCATGTGCACATTTGACAGGCTCTGCCAGTTTATCCTATCAGTTCTTTCTGAGCATTTGCTGGAGGAGTTTAGATTCAGATGTAATTTGATTTTGTAAAATGAGTTTGAGTTGGTTTCCCCCCTCACACCAAAAGATTAACTCAGCAGGTCTAGTTTTTCCAAAACCTGCATTCCAAAGGAAGGATGGGCTTTCAAGTGACCCCTGAGATAACCTCTAAGCCCCTGGAGTGGCCCTCCAACACTCTACAGGGGCTAAACGACCAGTGGCCACCAAACACTCTGGACACAAAGGCTCATCCAGGTGAGCTGCTCTGATTAGCAGTACTTCTGTTGCCACACGTTGTTGCTGTAAGCATTAAGCCCTGTCCATTCAGTTCCACCAGGAGGGGACCGCTAGAAATTCTACCTGTTCTCTCTGGACTCTGCCCTACATGCCTTTCCCTTTTGCTGATTTTAATGTTATGTTTGTACTGTAATAAACAATAATCATGAATGGAAGAACTTTTTTGAGTTTCTGGAGTCCTTTTAACTAATCATGAAACATGAGGGTGGTCTTGAGGACACTCTCTTGAGTAGAATTCAAAACATTTTAAAAATAACTTTCTGACTGTTGCTGGTTATAAGACACAGGAATAGACTGTCCTTTTATAGATTAAAGAATCTATAATTTGCTTATGGCCAAGTTCACCAACGTTCTTCCAGCAGCAATGTGTGCTTAGAGTCTTGTAGCTCAGTGCTGCCACAGTATATATGAGTGTTGGCAAACTTGCCCCAGAGAAGAGCCTGAAACACAGACAGACTCCATAGAATGTGCTATGCACATGACAAATGTTAGCATTAGTTGTGCTGGTTAATTACCATATCTGCTGTCAATCTGAAATGTAAATTCTACGTAAAGAACAAACTTTATTCATCTTTGTGCCATTTTAATCTCAGTGCCCAGGAATTTAGTGTGTGTGTATGTATACATTTTAATCTGAGTTCCCAGGAACTTAGTGTATATGTGTGTGTATGTATATAGAATCATTAAAAAGGAATGTAAATATGTAGTTTAGGAATTGTTTTGCTACTTACACTTTTGGTAGTATCCATCCCTTGGTACAACTGAATTTTCCCCGTCTTCCACTGTTCATCTTTACTCTTGGTCTCCTCCCATGCCAGAACATTGTTACTGTTTTTCACAAATACTCGTAGTTTCCCCACTTTGTCCCCAGCCAGCCGATAATCAAAGAGCAGGCAGAAGTTGCTTTGGGGCTGCAGGTTGGGGAGGATAAGTTTCAGTCGGCCAATGTCCTTCTTGTGCCCCACCAAGGCAGGAACTGCCATATAATAGCCAACAGCTTGAAGAGAAGAAAGTTCACAGTTACCGAGGTCATTGGAAAGGGCTTGGCTAAATTGTAGAAACTTTCTAGGAAAAGGAACCATAATCTCCTACAGTGAAAACAAAAGTCTTCTTCATTTCCAACATAGGAACAACAGCTTCACACTAAAATGGATATTAGCTGTCAACAAGATGTCTTGTCTTTGGACTGGTTAAACAGGCCCTGTGCTTGCTCTGAATTTCTATCCATTGTCTTGCTTACAAGACTTGTTGTGCAGGATGTGCCCTCTTTCCCCAAATTCCAAGTTCTAAAACTGGTTTTTTGAGGGAATACTGAATTAGGCTCTAGTGACCTAATGGTAAGAACCTGTGCTATAATACTAAAGGCACACAGTTCAAGTCTACCAGTTGCTGTGAGGAAGAAGGATGGACAGTCTCCTCCTGTGAAATTTATTGCCTCTGAAAATGTACTGGAGGGTCAGTTATGGGTCAGTTCTGCCTTGATGGCACATAACAACAAGAACATCCAGGTATTTTTTGTTGTTGTGTGTGACAGCTTGAGAGGGAATACTTCAGGGAGGAATTCTTTTTAGAGGAAGGGTCTATAAGCAGGATCTTTTAACTGAAGCCTGAGCTTGTACATTCCCAAGAAATAGGTTTATTGGTAAGACACTGGAGTTCTTGAAGGTTTATCAGTTGTCACTATACAATCAGTCCTCAGGAGATAGGGACTGGATTTATGCTCAGAATGAAATCTGCAAGCCAATCTCTCTACTCAGGGGGAAACTTAAAGACAAATAAACAAAACAAAACAAGAGAAACTCAAAACTTATTGCCATCCAATAGATTCTGGATCATAGTGACCTTGCAGGACAGAGTAGAGAAGCCTTGGGTTTCCAAGGCTGCCAGCTCTACAGAGGCACGTTGCCTCAGCTTTCATCCCCGTAGCAGTTGGTGGGTTTGAATAATTGACATTTTGGTTAGCAGTCAAGTGCTTAACCACTGTGTCACCACTGTATCACCAGAACCCCTGAGGGTGGGGGTGAGGGGCACTTAAATTCCATTATTAGTGGAGGCAGTGGAAAGGGCTTGAAGCCTGGAGCTGAGGTTGAGAAAATACAAGGCCAGTGGCCAGAAGACCTCAGGCAAAACTCAGTCCAAGATTTTGCATCATTTTCTTGAGGATCACTGTGGTTTTGGTGCTTTGTGGAGTGACACTCCAGGGACCACTGCAGGTCACATCTCCTTTGAAGATTTATGTCTTTCAAAATACCAAAGACAAACTACAGAACATTCTGACTGGTAAATTGAGGGTAAGGGACAATTCTTTTCTACCTTTCCCCATTGTTTCCAAGCTAATGCCTGTCTCTAAGGAGCAGAGGAGTGAAGATGGGAGAGGTTTGTTGTTGTTGTTGTTATGTGCCATTGAGTCGCTTGCGACTCATAGCGACCCTATGTACAACAGCCCTAAACTCCACTCTGGCCAAGCACAATCAATAAGAATGCATCTAAATCCCAAAATCAATCTCCATAATAGTCTATGTGTTTCCTACTGCCAAAGGGGCCCTTTAGAGTGGTGAGAGAAGATCTTCACCCTGAAACCCACAGCGTCCCTTTTCAGCAGGAAGTAGCTAAGAGAATACGCCATCCCCTTTTCCTTATAACTCAGGGTGAAGTCTCTCTCAGGGAGGAGTGATAGGGAATGGCAAAGGACACACTGACAAAGAAGATTAATCAGAACTGGCTTTGACAAGCACTGTGGCATTTGGACAAGAACAAACTGGGAGGAGGGTAGAGAGAATAGTGCAACAAGGAATGAATGGAAACCCAAAATCTCTGTAAATGTTTATGAAAATTAATAAAATATAGAAAAAAAACACAAAAAAACCCCTCCACTCTGCCCTGTGCCAGTTGCACTGTCTCTGACATCCATCCCAGTTATCCCAGTCACTGAATCAATCCACCTCATAGAGGGCCTTCCTCTCCTGCGCTGTCCCTCCACCCTCCCAAGCATGATGTCCTTCTCCAAGGACCTGTCTCTCCTCACTACATATCCAAAGTATGTTAGACGGAGCCTCAGAATCCTTGCCTCCAAGGAGCCACCCGGTTTAACCCTCTCCAGGACAAATCTGTTTGTTTTCCTAGCAGTCCATGGTATTCTCAGTACTCTTCTCCAGCACCACAGCTCAAAGGCATCAATTCTCCTTCTATCCTCCTTGGTCATTGTCCAACTCTCTGATGCATAACAAGTGATTGCGAAGACCATGGCCTGTATCAGACGCACCTTAGTCTCCAGAGAGACACCATTGCTCTTCAGTACTTTGGAGAGGTCCCTAACAGCAGACTTTCCCATGGCAATGCACCTTTTAATTTCCTGGCTGCTGGTGCCAAGACTGTTGACTGTGGAGCCAAGCAAACTAAAGGAGAGGTTTACAGGAGCATATTTTGTGGAGGTAGGAGGGTGGGAGATGGATTAAGGAGGGAAATATGTGTTGAACTATATAGTCATCCACAACAGAGATCTTGGAAGGTGTAAAAGTTTCTGCAGATGCTACCATGACCTGATAAGTAACAAGAATAGATGCCCTCTCGTCATTGGAGAACCTTCTTTACCTGCACCATATTGCAGAACACGAAAGAACAGAAATCTAAATACCGTTATCTCGATCAGCAGGATTCCAGTCAAAATCATCTTCTCTATCTTGTTTCCAGTCACAGACCCCATGATCAAAGCTACAGTCAGCTGAGATATTTAAATCTGCCAAGAGAAAGGAAAAGCACATTCATATCCAATAAGAGTATCAGAAAAACAAGTGCTCCGAATGGTTTGGAAGGTGATTCATGCTAACTTGCTTTCAGATGCACCAAGTTGATCATGGCAACTCAGATATCTAGACTCCCTGTTTCCATTTCAAGCTGTGACACTATTCTGAACAAATTCTATAGTGATCATAAAAACTCCACAGAAAAGCAGAAGTTATTTTTGAAATAGAAGTTAATTGTCAAGATACCCCTAAGCAAAGCAAAATTGAGAATTTAAGGTATTGTTTGTAAGAGTCAGTCCAGAAAAAGAAAACCTAAACTACTCAAATAAACCAGTGAAGATCTTGCCAGAACTTTGTTGATAAACTGTTTTATATTCTCTATGACTTACCAAGATGTAACTTAATATATAAGTAACTAAACTTCCCTTTTAAACTTTATGATTCTATTACTCCTATTAGAAATTGCAACTATGTTGGGTCAGATAAAATGACACATAGTCTCTAAATTATTATTTAATCCTTTTTGATAGAATGACTGTCTTGTTTAGATATGTCAAAGAAATCTAATAGTTGAGTTACTATTATAAATTTTGAACCAGTCCTTCTGGTTACTTCTAGTTTTTGTTGTTGTTCTTTTTTCTTTTTCTCCCTTCATTCTTCCTTTCCTCCCTTCCTCCCTCCCTCCCTCACTTCCTCCCTTTCTCCCTTTCTTCATTCCTTTCTTTTTTCTATGAAGCGAACATATCCTTGATACCAAAGCCAGGAAAGGACACCACCAAAATAGAAAACTATAGGCCAGTATCTCTTATGAACATAAATGCAAAAATCCTGAATAAAATACTGGCCAGTAGAATCCAATGATACATGAAAGAAATAATTCATCATGACCAAATGGGATTCATAACAGGTATGCAAGAATGGTTCAACATAAGAAAAACAATTAATGTAATTCATCACATTAAGAAAGCAGAGAAAAACCAATTAATGTAATTCATCACATTAAGAAAGCAAAGAACAAGAATAACATGATCCTATCATTTGATGCAGAAAAGGCCTTTGACAAAATCCAACACCCTTTCCTGATTACAACACTCAACAAAATAGGATTAGAGGAGAATTTCTTCAACATAGTAAAAAGCATTTATGAAAAACTGAGAGCCAACATTGTTCTCAATGGAGAGAGGTTAAAGGCATTCCCTTTAAGAACAAGGACTAGGCAAGGATGCCCACTATCACCTTCTTTCCTTTCTTGTGTTGTTGTATCTGACTGGAACAGGAGGAGACTGCCCCTCTTTCTCCAGCAAAGCATCTAGTGGATTTGAACCACGTGTCTTTGGGATTACAGCGCAGCTTCTTGCCACTAGGCCACCAGAGCTTCATTCCTCTGGTTACTTTTATGTAGACCAGGGGTAAGCTAACTAACTTCTGGCTTAGCATTTGTCTTTATAAATAAAGTTGGGTGGGGTTTTTTTTATTCTTTATAGACAAAATCTATTCACAGTATGCTTGACTATATTAGCTGTAAAATCATATGGCAAAAGAAAATGAATTAATACAGAACATGGGAAAATATACCCCACATATATTTTTAAATGCCTTGCAATTTTCACATAGGCAAATATAAATAAAGTTTTATGGAAATGCAGCCATGCACATATTACATTGCCTGTAGGTGCTTTTGAATTAAGATGAGGCAGTTGAGCAGTTTTAGCAGTGATAGCATGGCCCATAAAGTCTAAATTAGTGAGTAATTGTTATTTATAGTAAAAGTTTGCGGATTCCTGTTATAAATACCAATGAGGGAGTTTTTCTTTTGCTTTTCAAGGAGAGGAGCAAATGGGGGGGGGGGGGGGGGTTTGTGCGGGGAGAAGGGTGCAGTAATGAGTGAATGGAATCCCAAAATCTCTGTAGATGTTCATTGAAATGAAAAATAAACAACCTAAATTTTAAAAAAAATGCAACTAGGAAAGAGGAGGAAGATTGAGATATTCCTGACTCATAAGTAATGTCAGTTTCTGGGGGTTCTAATGCTGGGACATTAGCTCTTTAGCTATTTGTACTGTAATAAGGGAATGACCAGAAGTGAGGGCAGTTAATACTGTGGTGGCCTAGGGGTAAGAGGCTACACTGCTATCCCACAGGCATGTGGTTCGAATCCACCAGCTGTTGTGGGAGCAAAATGGGCAGTCTTCTCTTGTGCGATTTACTGTCTCTGAAAACCTGCTGGAGGGTCAGCTATGAATTGCTTGCTACTTGACAGCACACAACAACAACAACATTGAAATATGTGATCATATACAGTATGTCATTTGATTTGATGGTCACAAAAATTCTAATACAGACTGATTTTGAGGCAAATAAATCAAGGTTCATAAGTGATTCATCCAGGGTCCTTCATTGACTGAATACAGAAATTGGACCTTAACCCCTAATGAGTCTGAAGTCCAGATCTGTCCATCCTGCACAATCCCTAAACCAGCGCACCCCAGCTCTCACTTCATTCATTTTCCTTTCTTCTTACACCAATTTAAAAAGTAAAAGATGTCCAAGAATAATTACTTCCAATCCTTAATATTCCTTCAGGAGTGCTATTATCTGTGATGCTACCAACCCACAAACAGAATTTTTTAAAAGGGACTTAAATTGTTGTGGCACATTTGACCCAAATTCTCCTCCTCTAGGGAGCCCTGATAGTTATGCATTTGTTCAGCTGCTAACTGAAAGGTTGGTGATCCCAGTTGCTCTACGGAAGAGAGACCTGGAGACTTATTTTTATAAAAATTTACAGCCTCAGAAACCCTACGGGGGCATTTCTGTCATCCTGTAGGCTCCCTATGTGTCAGAATCAACTAGATGGTAATGTACTTGGTTTGGTGTTTTGGTTTTTTCCTCTCTCTCCATCCTCTTCTTCAAAGTAGAAGATACTGGTGAATGGGGCAGTGGGTGACTTGTGGGGACTAGTTACATACAGTGTGACCTAGTCTAGCCTATAGTGAGAAAAAGCTCAAAGTGTTTGCTACATGAACCCAATATTCTGAGACTTTCTTTTGTGCAACATTTTTTGGCTTCCACAGTGCTTTCAACCACTGTATTTTCTCAGACTGCATCTTGACCTACCCCTATAGCAGATGCTGTTGATGCCCCACTAAATACCTGCCAGCAGTCATGCTCCCTTTTTACTGCAAGCACTTGCAGCTTTCTGTGAGGGCACACTCTGACTGGATCAGGCTTGATCCAAGCAGGGCAAGTCAGAATACTGGAGAGTGAGTTCCCTGGGAGAGACTGCAACCAATGATAGATAGGAGGTGGTGAAGTCACATGCTGTACACTGTCTCCCAATGGGATTAAACTACAGTTGCCCACAGTGGAAAGTTCCTTGATAATTCACTCTCGAGTAGTTCTTTCCTCTCTGTTCTCTCTTCTTGACTCCCCTTTCACTGCTTATTAGGACTACATCCCTCATAAACCACTTGTACGTGAAGTCTTGTTTCTGGTCTGCTCCTCATGGAACCCATGTTATGTGTCAACTTGTGCTTTGACAGACACTGGACTGGTTGCTGTTCCAAAATGGAATATAAGAGAAACACTTCCTATCATGTGATCTGGTGTGGTCAGCCAGTCAACTGAAAGAGGAGTTTCCTTGGGGGTGGGACTTGTCTTCAGTACATAGTTTGATGTTATGGCAAAGTGCGCACATTCTCTCTCTCTCCACCACCCCCCCCTCTCTCTCTCCCCCTTCATCCCCATCTCTGCCTAATTCTCTCCGTCCCAACCTCATCAACCCTGCACTCTTCTCATCACCTGACTTCTGGTTTTGGGGATGTAAGTTTGCCAAAATATTCACCCACCCTGCTACCTGGACTGTAGATTCGATCTTACCTACCCCTACAATTTCATGGACCATTTTCTTGAAGCAAATCTATATTTTGGTATGAATCTCACTGGTTTTGTTCCAATAGAGAACCCAGCTAGAGACACTGCCTCTGCCCATGAGAACTAGCCCAGGGCAGGTTGCTGGGAGATGAGAGACCATGTGGAGCATGGCTGAGTCAGCCCAGTTGCCCTAGCCTGGGCTCACAGTGTTGCAGGGACTGGAGAATCCCAAATGTGTAGAGCAGGTAGCAGGCTGGAGACGTCTGCAGGTTTAGATGCCAATATGAGACGTGTAAGTGCAGCTAAGGTCAGCAAAGCCACTGAGTAGACCCACAGGTGATGGCCGACTCATAGGTGAGAACCCCCACCCCCACCCCAGCTGGGGCTGGCTAAATTGTCCAGATAATTACAAATTAGTATTTATTGCTATGAGTCACGGAGGCCTTGTGGTTGCTTGTTATGCAGCATTATTATGGCAATGGGTAACTGAGACAAGCATCTTGGACCACAGTTTAGTACCCAATGATTTTCAGGTTGTGGGCCCTCTGACATTGGAATGGAAGTGAAAAAGTAACTTCCCCCATCTGCGTGCAATCTGTTTAAATCTTTCATTCAGAGTATCAAGGTGGGATAGTAGAGAGAAAAACTAATGTCATTATAGATATCAATCACACAAGGAACTATGATTTTAATACTATCACTGCATGTCACACTGCATGCCATGATGCCATGAGTTTTCTCTTTGGCGTTTATCAAGGAATCAATGATTCTTCATAAACAATTATCTCATCCTATGAAGAAATGAACACAACCCAAGATAGCATGAACTGATAGATACTTGGAGAAAGCATTATTACCTGTGTGTTGCAGTTTGGAGGTGGAAGTTTTTTCTTGGACCAGAACGAGACCAAAATCATCAGCTCTGTTAACCTTTGGGGCTAATGAAGAACACTTGATCAGTTCTGAAGAAACTTAAAATGCCATGTCAGCACAGAGTTATGCAGGCCTACCATATATAAACAAAGCAATTAATGTTTCATGTTATAGACATCACTAATGATATCAAGATGAAGCTTGTAGGTTGGCAGTATCTGACAGTTTTTCCATTATAAAAACACAATGTCCTTTTTGCAGTTAATAAATAATCTATGGACAGGGTTTTAGATACTTTAAGACTTTATGACAATCTTATTTTCCAACAATGTCTCATCTGATTAGTTTATAACCCATTGAGGCTTCTAGCCTGAACCACTTATTATGATGGTGGTTTTAATATGGTATTATGGATTCTGACTCTTGTAAAAGTGCTTCTAAAAAGTGGTGAAAGGACTGAAACCAAGCTAATCATACTTTGAGGCAATCCAGTTTCCTACCATGGACAATTGAGGTTCACCTCAGGGTTTCAAACTGGTTTGAAACACATCAGCCATAGAAGATGGAACAAAATTAGACTAAAATTTACACTATTTGAATGAAGTAGAAGGATAATCAGAATGGGGACAACTGTAGGTTGGAGCCCTGGAATGAGACACTTGGAACAGGCATAGTGAGCTCTTTCAGAAGTCTGATATGAATGATTGGATTATTGCCAGAACTATGGCGAGTGACATGCATTAAAAGCAGACATGGTAGGTTTTCATCTTTGAGCAGGGCGTCCTTGTTTCCAACTCTATCAGTCAAGAGATTTAGTTGCTGTGCAACATGCATGCTACCCTGGTTTTGTAAGTTGTTATTGTTATGTACCTTTGAACCAGAAATGACTCATAGCTGACCCTCCAGAGGGTTTTTTGAGGCAGCAAATCGCAGGGGAGGAGATTGTCCATCTTTTTCCTGCTGTGCAGCTGGTGGATTCAAACCACATGGCTTCAGGTTAGCAGTGCAGCTCCTTACCACTAGGCCACCAGAGCTTCTAGCAGCGTGTCGACTTATAATTTTCCCCATTCTGATTATATCATTCTGATTCACTCATATTTTATAAATTCAAGTTGATTTTGATTTTGCTTCATTAATCATAGCTGAAGTGGGCAGAACTGGTTTGAAGCCCTGGCTTACCATCATAAGTGCATCTTTTTAATTAGATTGTTTAAAAAATCTTAAATTCCAGTCTCCAATGTTGATGTTATGTGCCATCGAACTGCCTGCGACTCATAGTGACCCTATGTACATTAGCTCTGAAAGCTGCTTTATCCTGAGCTGATCTCATTGTCTCTGACAGACTTACTCCTATTGCTCAGTCACTGAGTATAACCATCTCATCCGGTGTCTCACTCTCCTGTGTTGTCGCTCTACCCTTCCAAGCATGATGTCACTCTGTAAGGACTTGGTCCCTCCTTGTGACATGCCCAAAGTATGTCAGACAAAGGCTCAGAATCCTTGCCTCCAGGGAGCAAACTGGTTTCACTTTCTCCAGGACAGACCTGTTTGTTCTCTTGGCAGTCCATGGTATGTTCAACATTCCTCTCCAGCACCACAACTCAAAGGCATCAATCTTTCTTCTATCATTCTTAGTTATTGTTTAGCTCTTGAATACATAGCAAGTACTTGCAAAGACCATGGCCTGGATCAAGTGCACCTTGGTCTCCAGACTGACATCATTGCTCTTCAGTACTCTAGAGAGATCCCTGACAGCAGGCTTTCCCAATGTAATTTGTCTTTTGTTTTCTTTACTGCTCATGTCAAGAGTGTTGGTTGTGGAACCGAACAAGCTGAAAAAATGACTGGAGACAGCAGAGAACTGCCAGATGTGCAGGCAGGGTTTAGAAGAGGCCGTAGCACTAGGGATGTTATAGTTAATGTTAGATGTATCTTGGCTGAAAGTAGAGAGTAACAGAGGAATATCTATCTGTGTTTCATTGCCTATGCAAAGGCATTTGACTGTGTGGATCACAACAAATTGGGCTAACACTGAGAAGAATGGAAATCCCAGAACAATCCTTCAATACCTCTGCTATACACTTTGCAATGGATATAGGGCAAAATGAGACTCTTAAGAATCTAGATTCCCTCTGTTCCAACACTGGAATAGGTTGTAAAGCTCCTGTGCCAAGATCTGAGATGGTATTTGTGAATTATGAGAGTAGAGTAGAAAAATCTGTTCATTTATTGAGAGTCTGTGACTCTCTAGGGAACTTCGGTGTTAAAGTCCATGGAGAACCGAACTTTGTAGATAGTAGATCAGTATAGGAAGATGAACTTTCAGCCTGCTGCCCCATTGAAAAAGAATGTCAAGAAAATAAAACAATCAAACATCTCCTTTCCCAGCAATACTGAGATTGATTGATTGATTTAAAAACTTTTTTTTGTGTGTGTTAATTGCTTTCAAAAACTGGGAGAGACCAAGGTTTGGAAATGTTAGGGAAATTCTAGTACTGGAGACATGAAATTATTAAAAAGCTATTGTGACATGGAAAAATAGGTTATAATATTATATAACATGAAAAAATGCTTATGATATGCCAATAAGTAAAAACAAGAAATTACAAAGTTTTAGTTAAGGTATGATTGTTGTTGTTGTCATGTGCCATTGAGTCACCTGCGACTCTTAGCGACCCTTTGTACAACAGCCTTAAAACCTGCTTTGTTCTGTGCCAATCTCACTGTCTCTGGAACACCTACCCCCATTACCCCGGTCACTGAATCAATCCATCTCATCGAGGGTCTTCCTCTCCTGCACTGTCCGTCCACCCTCCCAAGCAAGACGTCCTTCTCCAAGAACTGGTCCCTCCTTGCAACATGTCCAGAGTAAGTCACATGAAGCTTCAGAATCCTTACCTCCAAGCAGCAGCCTGGTTTAACTCTCTCAAGGATGAACCTGTTCGTTTTCTTAGCAGTCCACGGTATGTATATTTAATACTCTTCTCCAGCACCACAGCTCAAAGGCAACAATTCTTCTATCCTCCCTAGTCACTGTCCAGCTCTCTGATGCATAACAAGTGATTGCAAAGACCATGACCTGTAATCAGGTGCACTTAGTCCCCAGAGTGACACCAACTGCCAAATATTATACATACTAATAGCAAATGAAAATGCATGTGGAAAAAATGAAAATATTTGTCTTTAATAGGATGGTATGATTCTGGGTAATTTCTTTCCATGTTTTATGTTGTGATAATATAATCTCTGGGTAATAAAATGTGCTAAGAATGGCATTTAAATAATGACTATGAAACAACACAGCAAGTACTTGTGATGTGATTATACATAGAAAAATCCTGATAGAAAAGTAGAGGTACATAAGCAGATCACCAGGTCTTGTCTTCTGAGGCACCTCTGAATGGGTTTGAACCGGTAATGTTTTGGCTAGTAGTTGATTGCTAACCATTTGCACCCAGGGATTCTGCATTCCAACAGTGAAAGTGATGGATATATTGAACTGAGCCATTGCAGATATCTATAAAAATGCAATTTCATATAGTTCAATTTAATATCTGGACCCAAAATGGTCATGAATATGGCAGGGAAAAAAATAGGTTTTAAGAAACTGGAATTTGGGATACATTTTTTTCCTTATAGAATTTATTTTCATTATACTTAACCTTTTCAATAAATACAAATGAGAAGTTAAAAAATAAAAGAGCTTTCTGACCTACCTGCCTCTCCCCCTGTCACCAACATGGAAGGACACACATATCATAAACATCAGTGTCTAATTTTTCAGAAGTAGGTAGCCAGGTCTATCTTCTGAGGTGCCTCTAGGTGGATTCAAAACTCCAACTTTCTGGTTAGTAGTCACATGAATTAACCATTAGCACCACTAAGGGATTCTAGGCTAAGTCCAGAATCAGGTGAAATAGTCCTAAGGCACGTGTCAGGCGGGCAGGTAGTACGAAGAGAGCTGACATTTCTTGATGTGATCTGTGCTTAGGACACCTGCTTCCACACCAGAGATTGCACACCCTTTTCCCACTGGCCAGCATGATGAACTTAATAGACCTGAGAGTGCATATCTATGGTCTGCTCAGCTCCCCAGACAAAGCTATCATTCTTACACTCATTGTGGAGCAATATAACATACCACACAAAGCTCATCTCTCAAAGCAAAGCCTCATGCCCCCAACTGGTGGTGGCAGGAGAGCCCCTGCAGAAGTTCCAGAATCCATGAGTCTGGGGAGCCCCCTCCACCTTCTAGCTCTTTTTATTGTGCACAGCTTGAGACCAGAGAGAATGACCAAAGCAACTGTTTACATTCTAAAATGATTCTTCTGGCACTGACATGCCAAGAACTAGGGTGTGTAGATTTGTCTCCTTAAAAAAAAAGCAATGAAACTGTACATATGTGTTTAATACACTTCTATAAGTAGATTTGCTTCTCAACAAACAACTTTTCTTTTATAGTAACCAAATTAAACTGAATGCAATAAATATTCCCTGAGGAGGTCGGGTATAGAAAAAAGGAAAGAGGGAGAATGAGCTGTCTTCACTCTCACTCTAACTTGGGAAACATTAAAAAAAATCTGGAAAATTCTTGTTGGATATATGGTTTTAAATTTTTTTTTGCTTGGATGCCAGCAGAGAGATGCAGTATATGCATATGATTTTAGGGGAAATATAAATCTGAGTATGTCACCAGAAAATACTTTGAAGTACTAATTGTACTTGGAACCTGCCTAGTTGAACTCGGATGAAAAGAAATTTGATCAGCAGTTTACAAGTGCTTATTGAAGAATGCACAGAAATCCCATGAGAGCAGAGATTCTGTTTGTCTAGTTTACTGCAGGCATCTGATAAGTCTTGGGTGAATCAATGAAGTACATATATTCTAATTATAGGCTATTGTAGGGCACTGTTCCTCTAACATTTCCAAATAATTTCTACTGGTCTCAGTTTCCTAGAGATTTTGCCAAGTGATCTAAGCATCTACATTATCGCTTTTTCATCAGGTTTTAGAAATATACTTCCTTGGATGGGTGGCATTGAAACTCCCTATAGAACATGTCACCAGGGCTCTGGAATCAAGACTAGACAAGATAAAATACAGAGGGAGAGACAATATCCAGTAAGCGTTGGGAGATTTGTACACCAGTGTTCATAGCAGTGTAGTTCACCATCGCAAGAACATGCAAACGGCCCAAATATCCAACCACAACTGAATAGATTGAGAAATTGTGGTACATTCACATGATGGAGTACTATGTAGCATGCAGAAGCAACTGTTCAAAAAATACTACATAATTTGGGAGAGACTGGAGAACATTATACTGAGTAAACGGACTTAATCTTATAAAGACAAGTACTGCATAAGACCATTATTGTAAAAATAAAAGGATAACTAGTAAAATATGTATGGGGGTCCAAGCGGGGAAGGAGTGGGAACAGAAGGGTGAGGATGGGTAGGGGAGAAACCACAAGGTTGTACAATTTGTTGGGTGGAGGGAAGGAATAAAGGAAATGGGAAATATCTGGTGGGATAATGGTGGTCATAGTTCAATGGTAATTAATTTTATAAAACAATGTATGGGAATGATTGTGTGAAACGTAATATCAGTGAAGGAAAGTGTGAAACACACACACACAAAGAGACCCACTATGTACATGAATGAAACACAGTGTATATGCATACCAATGAAAATGCGGAGGTGGGAAAAGAAAAGAGTTAGGAAAGTCTCAGTGAGAAAGAGGCAAGGTGGTTTACTATGGAAACGTTCTTGGAGGTGCTGGGACTTCCAGTGGGCTCTGCAGACCAACCAAGGTAAAGGAGGATATGACAGTTTTTCAGTTCAGGCAGAAGAATCTTCAATGTGAGTTTCTTCCTCCCTGTAATTATCTATATTGACTTTTAAAATGATAACTAAGCAACTGAAATGTTCCCATTTTGTGTAGTTTTTGTAAGAAAAGCCTGTTTAAAACACCTTGAAGAAGAAAAAGGCAGAGCTTGGCAGAATCACATAGGAGGATCTTTCCAATTTAAGGGGTGCCCTGCATGGATAGGAGTCCCCGTATAGTGCAAACTGTGGATATACTTGCCTGCTAACGGAAGATAGGGCTGGTGATAGATCCATTTCTAAAAAGCCAGACATTGGAAGCCCATTGAATTGGGTTTTCCACATTACTGTTGAGTACTGATGAAGTCAGAACTGACCCATAGTTGACCCTTGAGTGGGTTTTCAGAGGCAGTAAATTGCACAGGAGGAAATTACTCATCCTTTTCCTGTGGAGCAACTGATGGATTTGAACCACATACTTTTATGTTGGCAGCACAATTCTTTACCAGTAAGCCACCAGAGCTCCCAGATTTTTCACTTAAGGATGTGTTATAAGTCTGAGGTGATAGCTTGGTAGCCAGAGGACTATGTTGCAGGAAAATGTATGCTTACCTGCTGAGAGAGAGCCTGAACCCAGTAGGACACACCCTTTCTCACTCTCCCAGAGAGAGAAGGCTTTCCAGAGCAGCTCCTTTAATTGAAAGTTTTCTGACCATATAGTGAACCTCTTGTCTTGGGTTTTATGGCTGGATCTATTGCGTTTAGTACTCATAACAATGCCCCCAACATACCAGTCATCATAATGATGGCCCAGGACCAGGCAACATTGTTTTGTGTGGTACATAAGGTTGCTAAAGTCAGAGACAACTTGATGGCAATTAACAACATCTTTGTACTTAAGTCATAAAACTGTTATAGCATCTTTCATTTGCAAGAAGCAATCACAGTCAATTTTCCTTAAGATGTATAAAATTAAAGTGGTACTCACAAAACACATCTCCTCGAAGGCTTTGCTCCCGCTCCACGTGGTTCTTCAGGGCTTTCTCCTCTCTATTCTCTTTCTCATATCCTTCTTCCTTTCTCTTCTCTGGCCCTTTCCCCCCTCGATTAGAATTCCCATTCCAGTAAACATTCTCTTCATAGTTGAATGGCTGTACGTGAACCTTAGGGGCAGGAGTCCCAGTGCGTTCTGGGATCGTATTTTTCATTTCCCCCTTCTTTCTCACATTCTTCTTGTGAGCTAGCAGCTTCTTGATTGTGTCTTTGACGGTACCAGGGGCTCTGTGTATCTCCTTCACAGAATTTTCAGGGATAACTAAGACAAACAGAACAGGTTAAACATTTCAAATTGAATGATAATTTGATTCATCACTCATTAGAAAAGAATTTTTGGAGAAGAACATGATACTTGAGAGTGTGGAGGAACAACACAGGAGAGGAAGACCCTGGAATAAATGAATTGACACAGTGACTGGAGTAATAGGGGTAGGCGTGTTGGAGACAGGGACATTGGCTCAGGATAGGACAGAATTCAGAGCTATTGTGGATAGGGTCACTGTGACTTGCAGGCAACTTGATAGTACATAACAACAATAGCGAACTATGTAGAACCCTGGTAGTGCAGTTGATTAAACACGGGGCTGCTAAGCAGAAGGTTAGTGATTTTCATCGCTCAGCTTTTCCACAGGAGAAAGATAGGGTGGTTAGCTTTTGTAAAGATTTACAAAAGTCATGAAAGGACAAACACTGCATAACACTGCTGTTACAAAATAGGAGCTGGCATGGGTTTTGGGAAGAGAATAGGAAGAGTGGATAGATACTGAAACACTACATTGAAACAGATTAGGGGAAGAATGGTCCAAAAGGAATATATGAATAGGAATTATACAGATGACAAGAATCTGGAATAAGAGGTGCATTACACAGTTACTGGGGGAAGGGAGAAGGAAGAAAATATGCAACAATTAATAATAATAAAAGTACACAGACTTGGAAACCCTAAAAGTTAGTTCTCCTGTGTCTTACAGGGTTGTTTTGAGTTGCAGTCTACTTGATAAAAGTGGACTGGAATGGACTATGTAGTTTTTACTTTTCAATCTAAGGCTGTTATGACAAAATAGATGTATTTACCTTAACAATGAAATAGTTCAGTTATTTATCACTGTGACAGTATGTTACAGTTACAAAACCAGCTAGTACCATCATTACTTATTTTCCTGACCTTCAGTTGTCCTAGTTCAGCTACTTTGCCAAAGGCTGCATGCTAAATTTCACTGGAAATTTGCTGGTCCATTCCAGGAGGTCCCACTATGTCATTCTGCCCATGGCTCCTTGAATCTTTTCCCTTATCCAGCATGAAAAATGAGCAGAAACACCCATACTCTGGAAATTTTCTTCATGCAATCAGTAACAAAAAACTATGTTGTTCTTGTTATATGCCGTCGAGTCGTTTGCGACTCATAGCGACCCTATGCACAACAGCCCTAAATCCTGCTCTATCCTGCGCCAACCGCACCGCCTCTGACACACCCATCCCAATTACCCCAGTCACTGAATCAATCCATCTCATAGAGGGTCTTCCCCTCCTGCGCTGTCCCTCCACCCTCCCAAGCATGATGTCCCTCTCCAGGGACCCGTCCCTCCTGGCAACATGTCCAAAGTATGTCGGACGAAGACCCAGAATCCTTGCCTCCAAGGAGTAGCTTGGTTTAATCCTCTCCAAGATGAATCTGTTTGTTTTCCTGGCAGTCCATGGTACATTCAGTACCCTTCTCCAGCACCACAGCTCAAAAGCATCCACTCTCCTTCTGTCCTCCCTAGTCATTGTCCAACTCTCTGATGCATAACAAGCGATTGCAAATACCATGACCTGTATCAGGCGCACCTTAGTCTCCAGACAGACACCGTTGCTCTTGAGTGCTTTAGAGAGGTCCCTAACAGCAGACTTTCCCATCGCGATACGCTTTTTGATTTCCTGACTGCTGGTGCCAAGAGTGTTGACTGTGGAGCCGAGCAAAGTGAAGCTGTGAACACTCTCAATCTCTTTGTCATCCATTCTGACACTGCCAATTGGTCCAGTGGTGAGAATCTTTGTCTTCTTGACATTGAGCCTCAGTCCATACTGAAGGCTGCAGTCCTTGACCCTTCGCAGCAAGTGCATGAGGTCCTCCTCAGTTTCAGCAAGCAAGGTTGTGTCATCTGCATAACGGAGATTGTTAATAGATCTTCCACCAATCCTGATGCCACAATTCTCCTCATAGAGCCCAGCCTCTCAGATAATCTGCTCTGCATACATGTTGAAAAGGTATGGAGACAGGATGCATCCCTGACAAAAAACTATAGGCTTTCATAAATAAAGGAATGGGTTCTACTCTATATTAGGCAAACTTAAACATCTTCTTTCAGTTTTGGCTTTGACATTTTCCTTTTCGGAAGAAGATGGGGGAAAGCAAAACATCATTTACCTTTGTGGTGTCAACAATTTCATTTCCTTAGTATGTAAAGTGAAAGCTGAAACAAGGATAGAGATGCGGTTTGATCCGGGCATATATGTGACTTTGAAAGAATAGATTTAGTTTTGTCCGTTTAGATATGTTTCAAATTTGGCATAACTCATGATTATTTACATTCAATAATATTCCTTATGATTGCACTGTATTTTTGTTGTTGTTGTTATGTGCCGTCGAGTCGTTTGCAACTCATAGCAACCCTATGTACAACAGCCCTAAACTCTGTCCTGTGCCAATCATACTATCTCCGACATGCCCATCCCTATTACCCCAGTCACTGAATCAATCCATCTCATGGAGGGCCTTCCCCTCCTGCGCTGTCCCTCCACAGTCCCAAGCATGATGTCCCTCTCCAAGGACCGGGCCCTCCTTACAACATGTCCAAAGTATGTTAGACGGAGCCTCAGAATCCTTGCCTGCACTGTATTTTAGAGAATATAGAAACATGGGAAGAAGGTACAATTAAGAGGGTCTTTGGCATGTTTGGGGAGGTCTCAGACATAAAAATAGAGACTTCTATGTTTAGCAGAGATTGTTCAGGTGGCATATTTTGTTGTCCTTGGGCTATTGTGAGTTGAAGCCAGCTTGATGACACCATACAACAGCAATAGGTTCATGGGGTTGCTCTTCTGTACTGATGAAGTTGACAATTTTTCTTGAGCAGTATTTGAGATTTCTCTAAAGACCTGCTTTACCCAAACCTTGTATGATAAAGAGCAGCCTATCTGAAAATCCTATTTTTAATTTCTTCTCTTTGGGAGGAGACTGGATTTCTAGAAGATTGGTATTGAGTAGGCATGGCTTACCCAGGAGGAACATGGCTATAACATTTGTATACCTTTGCATAGTTCACCACATGATTTCCTGTCATCTGGCAGGAGAAATGCTCCATTAATAGGAGCTTGGGGCACTGTCCTTGGAGAATTCACTCAGCCTGACAAGGAAGGGGCTGTGCCCAGAGACCCAGGAATCAGGAAGGATAAATGAGTTTACCAGGAGGCAGAACAGAAAAGTTCTCCATCATGGAGCATGGCACTGTGTGACAAGACATGGTGTCACCTGTCTGTAACAGGATACATCTACACATGCATACCTTGGAGATAGTGTGAATTCAGTTCCAGATCATCACAATAAAGCAAATACCACAATATAAGCTAGCTACACCATGACACTGACGTGTCCAATGTGATAATGGTTACCTATGGTGGACAGTGTTTGGTGGGGCTCCCCGATTAACCAGACTTGGAAGCAGGAGTGGCACCCACTTCCGAAATAGCTTGCCTCTAGAAACCCTATGAACCTGGAGAAAGGATCAAAGTTATACAAGTGTTCAGGTCTTTCATTCATAGGGTCTTTATGAGTCATCTATGACTCGATGACACTTAAAAACAATGACAATGGTGCTCTTATGGCTCAATGGTAGAGAGCTGCACTGCAATTCCAAAGACACGTGGTTCAAACCACCAGTTTCTGTGTGGGAGAAACATGAGCATTCTCCTCCCATGAGATTTACTGCTTCTAAAAACGTGCTGGAGGATCAGTTATGAGTTGGTTCCAACTCAACAGTACTTAGCAACAATAGCACATGAATTATTGGGTTTATCAGTGCAGGTAAAAGTTATGCTTACATCTTACTGTAGTCCATTAAGTGGGCATAGTATTATGGAAAAGGTTAAAACAGTGTGAGAATGACCAAACATGGCATAGAGACACAAAGTGAGTTTTAGAAAATGGTGCCTATAGACTGTCCACAAAATCAATTTTTTAAAGGTGCATTATTTTCAAAGCATAATAAAATAAAGTCTGCCTACATATATTGTGTTCAAGCACACAGCCCCCTGAAGACCAGGTTTCTGGGTTGGATTCCTCACTTCTGTATCTTCTGGATGTAGGATTCCAAACCATAATTTAACTTCTCTTTACCTCGCTTTTTCTTTTTCTAAAATTGGGATAAGAATGGGATTTTAAAATTTTTTTGTTGCTTTTGTGGTTTAAATGAGTGAATACATCACAGTTACTATGATTAGCACTTAGCACAGGGTATGCATGATATATATGCATATGTTTCTTACTGCTTTTAGAATTCATCACTAGAATATTTAGCATCTTTTACAGAGTTTTAAAACATTTTTCCCAGTAATACCTTAAAATTTCTAGTGTTTATATTATAATTAAAAGAAAATAACCTAGCATGTCTTGCTTATAAAAAATTTGTGTTCTTGAATAAGTACTATATAAATTGAATAAAGCTATCAGCATATTTTTAATGACTAAAGAAACTAATTTCTAATGGGAACGGTGTTGAGTTTGGTAAAGAATACTTTCTTGCTATTATTCCCACACTAATGCATAATTATTAATGCTGGCCTAGTGGTAAGAAGCTGTGCTGCAATACTGAAGATACGTGGTTCAAATCCACCAGTAGTTCCATGGGAGAAGGATGGGAAATCTCTTCCCATGTGATTAACTGATTCTGAAAATCTGCTCGAGGGTCAGCTATGGGTCAGTTCTGATTTGACATCACACAACAACAGGAATGAACTAGAAGTGTTGGTGGTACAGAGAGCTAACAGTTGGATTGCTAACCAAAATTTGGTGGTTTGAACATATGGGCTGCTCCATAGGTGTATCATGAGGCAACTTCGTATAAATTTTACAGTCTTGGGAACCTCTGGGGGACAGTTCTTGCTTGTCTTGACAGCAGATTTCCCCAATCTTGTGAAACCAAGTAAAAGAAGATTGTTGACAATTTCAATCTTTCTTTATTCTATCATGATGCTGCCTACTGGTCCAGTGGAGAGAATAT